CATTCCTGCGCCTCACCGGCTCTCCTTGACCCGTGATAGGGGCTGAGCTGAGCAGGTGCATAGGAGAGAGGGGAAGAGCCCCCCCACAGGGTCTGCTGTGCTGCTCGGTGCGTCAGACGGATCGGACCAGGGAGTCGAACCCTGGGCACCACGTGGTTCTCTTGAGCAGTGTGTTTTGCTGCACCGTGGGGTTGGCCCCAGGCTAGGTCTTGCTGGTGGGTGACGTTACAACCAAGCATTCAGCCATTTCAGCAAGTGCACGATTTATTACAGAAACATCGTAGGGAGGTCGGAACCGTCTGGAGAGGGGGTGGGGGCCCCGGAGATGCTCATGCAGCCACTCTGGCCCATCAGCTCACGGCACAGCCCTCTGGGCAGACAGGTGCTGTTCTGCAGAGGACCCAGTCGCCCTCCACGGTGGCATCCAGGGAGCAGAGCTTTCCTGGCAGGTGAGAGTACCTGGGACCGGGCTCCCGAAGGCTGAGCTGAGACGGTGCAGAGCTGCTAGAAAGCGCAGCAAGGGTCATTTCTGAGGGGGAAGAGGGGCAGAGACGTGTTTGTGCAGTGTCTTCGGGCGTTCTCGGGTCCTCCTCACGGGCCTCCCAGGCTCTCCGTGACCTGTTCACCCCGGATCACGCCTCCCTGTGTTCCACATACTTCCCCAGACCTCACGGGGATGAAGGCTCCATCCCTCGGGGGCAAGAAGCTGCCCCTCGGCCTCCTGTCTGGCAGTGCCAGGTCCCTCAGAGCTTTGATGAAGTGCCTAGCATGACTGCTGGCTTCCTCCCTGCCCTCGGAGCACAGGGGCAACTCCAGGGCAGGCCCTCTTGGGCCACTGTGCCCTGCACCCTGCCCCTGCCCGCGCCGTCGGCCAGGGTGGGTGCAGCCAGGGAGTGTGATGCTTCGCTCCGGGCACCACAGGCCAGGGCTGAGTCGGGAACTCGCTCCCAGTCTAGTGCCCGGTCTTCGGAGTCAGTTCTGGGCCGACTGCAGCCTGCACCCCTCTGCTCGCCTGCGCTGGTTAGGACTGCCCACAGAGGACAGGCAAACACAGGAGCAACGGGTAACAGAGGCTAAGCGGAGGCACCAAGGCCGCCTGCTCTGCCTGTGAGCCCGCCGGCTCCCCGGTGAGTCGCACGGTTAACCTGACGGGAAGGCTGGGTATTAACGGGCGCTTTGACTCCTATATTGGGATTCCATGGAAAAGTGTTATTGGAAAAGTACCCTGGTGTTATCTTATTTAAAGTTTGAAAGCTACTGATGGTTAGTGAGGCTCCACCGAGGGAGGTTTGTTTTTTTTGTTTGTTTGTTTGTTTGTTTTTAGATTTTTTGCCATAGGGTCTGTGCCCTCATCAGAGACAGAGATAGAGAGGGAAAGTGAGAGATCACCCCTGGGGGGTGGCCGTGCAACAATCCCTTCTCCTCCACTCTCCCCTCAGGGTTTTGTCATGCACACACATGCCCTGCATGCTTCTCAAGCCCGGCTGGAACCAGAGTGGGCCTCGGCCGTCACGCTGCTGAGGGTTTAGGTTGGTGTGGGGAGGTCGCGGGGCTGGATTTGCGTTTTTCCTTAGAGAAGCACGCTGGCTGCTAGGTGGACGGCAGGTGCGGGGCAGGGGAGGTGCAGGCCGGGCTCAGCTGTCTCCCATCCTCCCACGTCCCCCCCCTCCGTCGCCCGGCAGAGCTGTCTGCGCCGTCATCTGAGGACTGATAGCGTCTAGCTGGGCTGGCCCCTTCACGCCGCATCGCCGTGTCCCTCTCCCACTGGCAGACGTCCAGGGCCTTCCCGTGGCTCTCAGGGCCACGTCTGAAGCCCTCGTGGCAGCCCTCCAGGTCCGGGGGGGCCTGCCTGTGCACACTGCCCAGCCTCCGCCGGGCGCTCTGCTCTCCAGCTGCCACCCTTCGGGGCCACCTTCTCCCCGGGGCGCTAGTCCCACAGACTCTGTCCCCTGCAGTCTCCCCCCTGCTTGCTGCCAGGCCGGCTACCTGTCATCCTGTGGGTCGTGGGTTCAATGTAACTTTCCCGAAAAGGCCGTCCTTGACCCCCAACGGGCTGGCAGGCTGGGCTCTTCTGTCTCCTTTCCCATGTGCCCTTTCTCCTCTGTAGCTTTAGCTGACACCCGTGACATCTGTGTGTGCTTTACTGTCCCCTCGTGAGCACAGGAGTCCCGCCTGCCCTGTTCCCTGCCCAACGCAGGCGAGTGGCCGCTCAGTAACAGCCACTGGGGGCGGCCAGCGCTTGTGGGGGCGGCTGCCGGCCAGGGCTGAAGGCAGCCGGGTCCCACATGGCCGGATCAGTTCTGGGTGTGGTCGGATCCAAGACTGGTGCAGCCAGGCCTGGGAGGAGGGGCCCCTGGGCCAGAGTTCCCAGGGGGCAGTGAGGGCGTCCCGGTGGTGGCGCACACTGAGTGTACCGAGAATGCACCGGACGGCGCTGGCGGTAAATTTCATGTTACAGGTGTGTTCCCGTAACTTCTAAAACCCCAAGTAAAAGGCACTGAGTAACTCACGAATGAAGCCCCCCTTCCTTGCAGTGCGCTGTGTGGGGCTGTGGCCTGAACTCACCAGGAGCGGGGACTTTGCACCCAGTTCTGGGGTTCTATCAGCGCCGTCCAGTCCACTGGGGTCTGCTCCCCCAAAGGCCTGGCAGTCGGGGAACCTCCTGCCCCGGCAGTGGACAAGGCCCGCCCCGAGCACATACCTGACATCCGTGTCCGGGGAGCAGTAGTGGCAGTAGCACTTGACAGGTTGAGGGAGAGACGGGAGCAGAAGCAGCGTGAGACACGGTCCCCCCCCACTCTGCCATCCTGGGCTCGTCCCCCCTCTGTGCGGACCTCGCAGCCTCACCCACGGCCCCGTGGCCTGCCCTGCCGGTGTTCTCGCCCTGCCGGGGCAGCGGGGCTCAGCATGGCTGACTGGGCATGGCTGATGCTCTGGCCCTGGGAGCCTTCCTGTGCGCTGCGGCTGGGCTACCGTGCAGCTCCCCGGCCGTGTGACAACCCAAACTGTCCTCAGACACTGCCTAATGGCCTGGGAGTGACAGGGCGCCCCTGCTTGAGAGCATCTCATCTAAGCACAGCTCGGGTAGCGCCCCCCCAGTCGGCCTCCCCCCACCCCCA